AGCCATAATAAACCTCTCCTCCCTTAAGTTTCAAGTTATCAGATATTTTGTCCCAGCAACAGGAAAGCTAATACTTTCTTAACTCCCTCAAACATTACCCCCCGACACACACAAAGAACCATACTAAGGCAAAGCTAGACATAGCTATGTTTAAAGTAGCCCCCTGCTGACTAGCCCACATAGTTGGTTATGTGGGAGAGACTTTCAGTTCCATGACACACATTGCTTCTGCATACCAAATATATATATATATATAAAGAAGTAAACTCGAGGGACAGATAACTCAGAAAAAAATAATGTCAACAACACTATTGGAAAAATATCTTCAGTTTAATATAAACTTAATGACAGATCAAATTTTAAAAGGTATAGAAAATATATACTGTGCTACCTTTTTAGTACCAGACTATGTAGATACATATGTATAGAGGTACATATATACTATTCTATATATACATGTCTATACATATGTGCATATCTAACCTTGTATGTTTCCATAAATAAGCCTCTCTCAAAGCCTCCCTAACATCCTAACAAAAGTGATTACTGATTAAAACAAGCCTGTATGGACTGCCATGGAGCAATACTTTTCTATGAGTAGTACACCTTTTGGGATTGTTCTAGGTTTGCTTGTTTGCATGTTTTTGTTTTGTGTGGTATTTAGATTAAACCTAGGCATTCACATGGAGCTATATCCCCAGCCCCTTTTTATATTTTTTGAATTTTGAGACAGCATTGCACTAAGTTACCCAGACTTGGCTTGTACTTGTGATCTTTCTGCTTCAGCCTACCAGGGTTCTGGGATTACAAGCATGTCAACCAGACTCTGCATGTATTTAAAACCATATGAGTTAAAGGTGTTTATTATACATTTTTTTGTTTTTGTTTTTGTTTTTGTTTTTGTTCTTGTTTTTTTTTTGGTTTTTTGAGACAGGGTCTCACTATGTAGTTGAGACTGACCTGGAACTCACTATATAGCTCAGGCTGGTCTCAAACTCCCAGCGATCCTCCTGCCTCAGCCTCCTGAGTGCTGGGTTTACAGGTGTGCGCCACCACACCCTCCACATTATACTTTTAAAAGGAATCTTTCCCCAAACATTGAGACATAAAAGCCACATGAGATTTGAGAAGAACTTCAGAGATCACCCACAAGTTTCCTTATTTTAAAAAGGAAAATGAGGGCATATAAGTACAAAGCTGTCTAAATGAGTAGCAGAGCTAGTTTGACTGGAATATGTGTCTGGACTGGTGCTGTGCACCCATTTGCTGATCTTCCCTTTATGGCGCCATCTTCTATTTTCTGTACCACTTGGCAGCATTTGATCCATAGCTGCTTTTTCGTTTGTTTGACAATGTCCCGACTGCTAAGTGCTAAGCATACTGTATGTCTCCTGAATTAAGAACACCCTATTGGAATATTGGGGGTGGAGGTACAAAATTTCAATCCTTGTTCTAACCGCGGAATCAAATGTCAGTAAAGCTTCTAATCCATTCACCTACCCAACTCGGTACTCTTATTTTGAATTTCCTCTCTGCTGTGGTTTGAATGTAGCCTCCAAAATTTCTTGTGTTAGAGACTCGTAGGTTCATATTATTTGGAAGTGGAACATTGGGGAAGTAACTGGGATCAAATGTGGTCAAGAGAGTAGGGCTTCGCTGGTGGCACTGGAGACTTTATAAGAACAGGAAGTGAGACCTGAGCTTAGCACACTTCCTGTCTCACCATGTGATACCTTCCGCCATGTTATGATGGAACAAGAAAGCCAATGCCAGAAGCAAAACCTATGCCAGCTCCCTGTTTTGTACTCCCCACGCTCTGGAGTCATAAGGCAATTAAACCTCTATTCTTTATAAATGATCTAGTCTATGGTATTGTTATAGCAACAGAAGACAGACTAAGACTTCCTCTTGGGTTAGGACTTACGCCATTGGTACTGTGGGCAGTGCTTTGCATATACAAGTGTTACGTGTACAAGATGGCTGACCATAGAGCCTGCTGTTAGGTAAACAGAAACTCTTGGCCTATCTTAATTCCCCTTACCTCTGGGATGGAGTAGTTCTGGGTTTTCAGGGGCCTTCAGAAAAGATTCTGTATCCTTGTTCTCCGTCTCCTGTTGCTGTCAACAGACTGCCCTGTCTCGGTGTCCTGAAGGCAGGCGCCACTTGTCTCTTTACATTCCTCACACTGCTACAGGGCCTAGCACGCTCAGTGCTCCCTGAACTGAAGAGGACGTGTGCAGAGCCCAGCACACGCTTTCCTGACATCCAGTTTCATGCTTCAGTGTGTTTCACATTAGAGCGAATCTGGCTTGATCTCTAGTCTTGCTTTAGTACTTCCGAGTCCCAGCTTTAAATCCTGCAGCTTCCATTCCCCTTTTCCTCTCCTCTGTCCCTCGTGAAAACACCCCTTGACCTTAGCCCATTGTAAGCAGGTGTTTTCTTGGCTTTTGAGATAAAATTTGGCGAGTCAGTTTGTGTTCCTCAAGAATTTCCTCAATAACACTGGATGCAAGCCCGGTCCTTGGCCCTAGGAGACTGTGCTCCCGCGGGTTCAGGGTTTTCCCCAGAAACCTGAGTGTGAAGCATGATGAGGTGGAAAGGGCTGCGCTCGAGAGCCACACATACCTGCTTTCGTCCTGCTCACGTCCCTCACCTGCTTTCTGGTACTGAGAAAGTCACTCAAGCAACCTGAGCTTCGTTTTCCTAGTAATGATGCTCACCTCACAATGTTGTGGGAAGTTAAAAATATTGGATGTGGAAGTCCCTGGAGTTGAGAAGCTTCCCTAAATACATCCCTGTCTCTTCCACAAAGTGAATTCTGAATTAATGAGAATTAACGAGTCCCTCTCCCAAGCAAAAGTACTTACCTTATTCGCAGAACCTGTACTTCCAGTTTCTGAAGACAGAGCAAACTGGGTCTCTTAAGAGCTTGCCTCAGCCTGTCGCTAGACTTTTGCTTTTGGAACAATGTGCTCTTGAGGTGTGGCAGTGTGTGCAACCAAAGCCACGTCTAGGTGTGCCAGCGATGGAGGAGCCTAAGGCATGAGGCCCTCAGGTGACAAGGCAAGGTCTCTGGTTACACTCTGTCCGTCCGCATTGTGGACACAGTTCGAGTGTGTTTCCCAGGAGGGAACATGCCTAAGGTGTGGTCCACAGCTCGGCAATGCGGACAGAGTGAAATCTCTATGAGTGGGCCCACAGGAAGAGGATTAGGTCATTGGGGGCACTGCCCTCCAAAAGGATTAATGCTGTTCTTGAGGACCCTGGTTATTTCTCAGGGCAATGGTTTGTTAGGAAGTGGGACGATCTTCACACTTGGTCCCTTCTTTTTTTTTTTTTTGGTACTGGGGATTGAACTCGGGTCCTTGCGCTTGCAAGGCAGGCCACCGAACCGCTGAACTAAATCCCTGGCCTCACACTTGGTCCTTTCTGCAAGTGGCTGGTCCCCTTCCTGGTTCTCTGCCATGTTGTACCACCAACAAGGAGGCCTTCACCAGAGGCTTGGACGGTATGGATTGCTAGCTCCCAAATTGTGATATAAATCAATTTCTGCTCTTTAGAAATCACCCAGCGTGCTTGCTTCAGCAGCACATATACTAAAATATAAAGCACCCACCCTGAGCTATTTGCTATAGCAAAAGAAAATACTAATGGGCCATCTGTTAGGAAATATATGTTGGGCTCAGGATGTAGCTCAGAGAAACAGCAGCACATGCCTAGCATGCACAAGGTCTGAGGTCTGATCTCCAGGACTGCAAAAAAAGAAAAAGGAAAGAAATAACTCTTATTCATGGTAGAAAGTGTATAGAGAAAATGTGATGTCAATTTAATAAGGAAAAATTAATTCCAATGAAAGAATATAAAAAATGGGCCCATTAATTCAGTTAACAGAGATTTATCACAGCTATCTCTGCAGAAAGTAATATGCCAGACAACTGTGGGGGTCCAGCCCCCACTAGTCGAACAGTACCTGAAGGAGAGAGTGAGGATTGAAAAGGAAAGACACTCTAGGCAGAGTGGAGACAAAGGACTGTCTGCTTTAATTGAGGCAAACCTGGCTATTTATACACACATTATCAGCACATTATCTTGTGTAGATACACAAGAAACATCTGCAGAAAGACACCACAAGAGAATGTTTAGACACCATAATATTTTAGGATTCCTAAGGTCAAAAGGTATTCACATGCACTTGGGGCTGGAATGTTCTCTTTATTTGATCACAGTGGCTTCATTAAGTTGTTAGATTAGCTCCTTGTTAACCACTTCTAGTTTTCTGCATACTATTGTTAGGTGAGAGTTTCAGTTTCCCCACAGACAACAGAGGTGCAAAAATTCAAATTTTCTTACTTGTGAAATGCTAAGAACGTAGGGGAGACAACACAGAAAAAAAATCCTTGCAGTGTAATTGGTAGAGACTGCTTTTAGTGGTATGTTCAGGATGCTTGGGAAGCAGAGAGCAAAAGTGATTTACAGCTTATGCCGGGACAGGGAAGAAATAATACTTGGGGTGGGACTTGAAGAGCAGGGTATCATGTACAGATGATGGGAAAAAAGTAGACCATAAGGAGTTAACCTTCCTTCTGGCCTACCCTCCTATTCCTCCTTTTTCTATTTGCTCTCTTCTCTCTCACCTTGCTGTTTTAAATGATCTCCTAATTGCCCTCCTTGCTCGTAGTGTGTCCTAATCCAAGCCACACTGTACAACTGAACAAAACTGTAAGATGAATCTTAATTCAGAGTTTTAACTGTGGTGGGCCCTCCTCTGAAGATCTTTATTGTTTTAACCTGTCTCTAGTCTCAGCAAACATAAACTGAATCCAGTTCACAAAGACAAAGTGAACTGCGTACGTATGGGTGACCATGCAGCAGTGAAAACCAGCTCACACAGGCTGGGGACTTAGCGCAGTGGTTCTGCCGCCTGCCTCACAGGAGCAAGGTCCTGAGTATGATCCCCAGTACAAAAAATAAAAAATAAAAAAAATTCACCTCATGCTTTCTTTTAATGTTCTTTTGTTCCACGGTACCTTAATTAATTCCCAGCTGCTCCGCACTTCTGCCTGCCCAAGTGCTCCCAGTTTGGGAAGGTAAAGAAGTATTATGGGCCTGCTTGGATTGATGCTGGCAACCTGCGTGTCTGAGACCACGTGGACCTGTAACAGAAATAGAAAACAGAAGAGGTAGTACTTGGGAGAAACGAAAAAAATTCTGTCTGGACCCACTATCTGTGAGAATTATTAAGACAGGGAGAGCGAGAGCAGGGAGAGAAGACGTTAGAAGAACCGGGAGATGTTGCGTCCATGTACCAGCTTCCCATGATGATCATGGTCACCGCACTGCAAACGGGGACCGCTAACAATTTTAAACGCAGCGTGTTACCAAGACAGCCATTTCAGTAGAAGGTTGGAAACCACAGACCAGCGGGGCCACACGGTTAAGGAGAAACGGGAAGCGAGAAAGCACAGGCGGCAAATGTGACTACTGTTGGCAGCGGAGGAAAAGCGTGCAGGAGGAAAATGGTTGGGGATTTCCACCTGCGACCAGGGAGGCTGCACTCGTCTGTCGTTTGAAAGAGAAAATGCAGAGATGGCAAGACCGCGGGGAAAGAGGTGGGAAGACATGACGGAGAAAGGTCACAATGTGAGAGGAACTGATGGCAGGGTTCGCCTTGGAAAGAGAGGAAATACTTCTCTGCCAACTCGGATTCCGGGCTGGGAGCTCGGTGGTAGAGTGTAGCTGAGGAAGCTTGAGGCCCTGGGTTCAATCCCCAGCACTACCGGAACAGTCTCGGATTCTATTTTGCACGGTCTCACTTCGTTCCTCTGTTTTATCTGATTTTTCCTGCAGACCCTTGGCAGCTAAACCAATGTCTCCTTGGCTTGCAACATGGCCCTGGCAGGAAGGGACACTTGCCTGATGGAACAGGGTGGGAGTTGCATAACTGCTTTCACTGGTGTTCCTGCCGCAGCAAGCTTTTTGTTCAACAACTGCAGATTTCACACCACCATACTCTGTGACTGTCTTCAAAAACACCTCTTTAATTCGATAGAGGTTGATTTTTATAGACATTTTAAAAGTCACTAACAAAACAACAAACCTTTGAGGAAAAAAATAAGAAAGGAGCTTCACGGCCTCAGACTAGGAGATTGGTTTAATAAGATGCAAAGAGCCATCAACCATAAAGGGCAAATAAAAATGTGATAATTGGGACTAATAAACAATTGCAAAAATTTGTTCATCAAAAGACACATAAACTGGGTGTAAGGGAGCATGCCTGTAATCCTAGCACTTGGAAGGAACTTGGGAACTACACAGCAAATTAAAGGCCAGCCAGGACTACATGACAAGGCCCTCAAAAATGAATAAGACAAACAAAAAATACACTAATAAAACAGTTAACAGGCAAGCTACAGAATGAAAAAAAAAAAACAAAGAAACTATGTGTGGTGACACACACCTATAAAGCCAATACTCAGTAAGCTGAGGCAGGACGATTGCAACTTTGAGGCCAGCCTGAGCTATATAGTGAATTCACGGCCACCCTGCAGTCCACAGTGAAACTCTGTCTCAGAAAATTTTTTAAAATTAAAAAAATAAAGTTCAAAAGCAAGCAAAGCTCATCTATTCTGTTAGAGAAAAAATAGCGGTTACCCTTGGTGTGGTATCCTATAGGGTACAGTGTGGCAGCTGGAAGGGAACATGGCGATTTTTCATGTATGAATAATGTTATTTTTCTTAATCTGATAATGGTTACACACGTGCATTGAGTTTCTGAAAATTTGTTTTATTGTACAATTATTATTTGCACACTTTCTTTATGTATACTTGAGGATTTTTTCAGTGAGGTCCCAAGTCTGTTTTATGTGTGAACAAAAAATTTATTCTGCCATTTTTCTCTGATTTATCTATTTATTCAAATTATTTATGCTTCTCACTAGTTTCTTCCAGAACTTGCCCAGTTCTCTACATCTTGAAATGTGTTAGTGATCTCCACACAGAATCTTACACCAAGCTCTGGGCTTTGTACTCCTTCCAATTTTTTATAACACATAGCTTGTCTTCCTAAAATTTTGTAAGACTAGTGAAATTGTTCAAATGACCATCAAATAAAAACATCTATGTAGTTTTGACTCCATAACCTGGAAGAAAGCCCAATGCTATGACAACTATGGATGTCCTCAGATTTGTCAGTGCCTTGGTGACTCTGATCAACACACGCTACTCTTATGGTCTCCCTGAGGACATCAGGACATCACATCCAGTTCAAGAGAAAATAATTTGATCACAGAGCAAGACAAAGGTCAAGAATTCTTTTTTGGATTGGGGTGGTCACATCCTTATTCACAAGCTATTCATTTAGAAGAAACAATGAAATAGGAGCTTCAATACAGACATCTGGATGCTGGGGGAAATTCAAATGAGCTAACTTTAAAAAAATAAAAACAAATTTAATATCATAGATTCTTGATTTTAAAAAATATATGTTGCTGGCTCACAGAATGCAAGTTTGGTTGGAATTACATTTCACCCAAAATGTGATTTGAAGACAAATGACAATGTAAACAGTGTTCCAATTCTAATTCAAGAACATAGTGTGTCTTTCTATTTATTCTCCTGATGTTTTTATGTAAAGTTCTGAAGATGCCTGCTTCAGGCTCTGCCTGTTTCTTATTAGGTTAATTAATTTCTAAATAAACACAAATGGACTCCTGGAATTCAGCTCTCCCAAAGGAGACCAAGTAAGAGAAGAGAAGATACTTTTTTTTTTCATTTTAAATTATGCATTTTCTAGTATAATTTAGGAAGGAACAGGTTCTTCCAGTTCATTTCACCTGAAATAAATCTATTTTTTATAATGTTTACTGGAGGAAAGGGAAGAAGAGGGACACATGGTTGTGTTTCACCGCGTTGTCGGGGTGAAAATCTTCACGTGTATCACTAATCTACCGATTTTCTCATGAGTTTTGCTCTTTTGCAGGTTTGCCATTAGGCATAGGGAAGGGTCTTCGCCATGGACCGCGGTAGAGGGCCCCAAGTTATCACAGGAATCCTTAACACAAGAGTACCCATGATACTCAGGATCTGGCCAGGCCCTAACAACCACACCTGTGATTAAATGCTTTGAGTTCCCAGGATGCACTTCTTTCTCTGCAGCGCTTGCTCTGTCTTGAAAACAAAAGGTAGTTGAGAAATACCACAAAGCAGAGGTTCTCAAACCTTTCAGCTTAAGGCTCTTACCTCTTAAGACTTCAGGGCCCTCGATAGAAAGAACATGTCACTGGGTGGAAGGAAATACTTGCAAAAGATCTATCTGATAAAGCCCTATTACCAAAATATGCAAGGAACTCTTCAAGCTATGATCTTTAAAGAAATCTAACCTGATTTTAAAATGGGCCAAAGGCCTTAACAGACACAACACTAAAGAAGATATATGTGACCAGTGTTCCTGAGATGTCAGCTTCACCGGGTTAAGAAACACCTAGCAGTTTAAAGTGTGCTCTAGGGTGTGCCTGGGTGGATCTCGGAAAGGTTGTGGACTACATACTGTCCCTCACTCATTTCTCTGGCAGTCTTCTGCTCTGCTCCCTAGCAATCAGCAACTAAGCAGCTGTGCTCCACCTGCCTCCTGCCATGACATCTGCCTTGGAGCCTGCCAGCCATGGACTGAGTCTCCTGAAACTGTGAGCCAAATTCATCCTTTCCTCTCTTCAGTTGTGGGTGTCTGACAGGAATGCTAGCTGATACAATATACAGATAGCAAATAAACGTGTGAAAAGATGTTCCACATCATATGTAGCTTAAGTTAATCTGATTATCAACTTACCCACAGTGCCAGCCTCCTAGAAAATCGTGAAAGTGCCCTTCTGGTGTGTGTGAAGGTGCATCCAGAGGTAACTGGCTCGTGGATCAGCAGACTAGGTGGGAAAGACCTGCGCTGAATGTAGGCGACACTGTCCAATAGGCTAGGGACTCAGATGGTACAGCAGAACAGAAGAGGGGAAACACATTCATGTGCACGCAGGCTGCACTCACTGAGGGAGGAGGTGCTTTGTTTGCTGCTGCCATTACCCCTGGGTATCGGACTCCAGACTCTTCAGCTTTGAGCACAGAGCTGCACCAGCGATGCTCCAGAGGGCTCCCAGGCCCTCTGTCTTGGACTGAGGCTGTATCACTGGTCCTTGATGTTCTGAGGCTTCTGGCTTCCAGAATGGAGAAGCTACTGATTTCCTTGGCTCTCTGCACTACAGACAGCCACTGTGGAACTATTCAGCTCTGGCTGTGTAAGCCAATCTATACAACCCCTCTCACATACACATTCTACTGTATTTGTCCCTCTGGAGGACCCTTACTAAGGCACATATTATTATGGAAATACGAATTTAAAAACAACCACTATGTACATATTAGAATGGTCAAAATCTAGAATGCTAACAACACCAAATGCAGGCAGGAGATGGAGCTGATAGGAATGTAAAACAACACAACCACTTTGGAAGACTAATTGGCAGTTTCTAACAAAACTAATGCTGTAACCATACAACCCAGCTCTCACGCTCTTGGGAAATGTGCCTAAAGGAGCTGAAAACTTAAAAGTCCACAGAAAAACCTACACACAGATGTTTATTGCCGCTTTACTCATACGTGCCAAAACCTGGGAGCAACCAAGATGTCTTTCAGTAGAGGTCCAGCACTAAAAACAAAGGAGCTATCAAGCTATGAAAAGACAAAGGGTGCAGGAACCAGCCTATGAGCTTGAAACTGACCAAGGGGTGACAAGGATGAAAAGACACAGAATCGTTAAAATCTGGAGGGCCAGGGGGAGCTCCTGTCTCCCTCTGACAGACAGCCCTAAGTGACTAGCGCACCTCAACTTTATTCACTAAGACTTGGGGCCAAGCAATTAGAGTCATGCAGGATTCACCGGTCTCCCTCCCTCCACAGCACTCACAGCAGCATCTCAGGTGTTTTTACTTCTCCCTGCAGCCTGTCAGGAAAATGAATACAAGTCACAGAAACACAGAGAGTGGAGATGAGGCACCGGGGGAAGGAGCGATCTCAGGGATCAGAGGGCCCTGTGCGTTCCTCCTGTATGTGCAAAGGAAGCAGCCCATGGGGTGAGCGCTCTAATGGAGAGCGCTGGGAGCCCTTCCCAGACGCCCCACTTTGGAGCATGGTCCTTCTCCTCCACCCTGCCTTCTCCATCTCTGCCCTTCAGACAGGGTTCTTTCCCCACATTAAGATTAAATGCTCAGCAGTATAATGACGCCTGTCAGGGAATAAACAAGGCGGAGGCGCTGGAGATATAGAATGTTGTCCACGAGGCAATACAACCCGGAGGGGGAATACAAGGCCCACCCCACGGTCATCCAGGTCAGTGGTATCTTGTGTGGTCCACGTGTCATACCTGTTGCATCGCTCTTGGATCACAGGGCCAAGCAGCTCCACAAATGCCTGAAAGGAAGTTAAGAGGGGAGGTCGTTACCGAGAGGAAATTCCTCCCCAGACGTCGCATACGGACTAATTTCACGGCCAGAAACTTGCGTATGGATGGTCCACTGTCTTGAGGGGGATCTTTAGAGAAAAGGCACTGGGATGACTGGGAAGATGAGATTTTGTCGACAGATTAGTTGAAATCAGATATTTCAGTCTTCTACATGGCAATATAAATCCTAAAGAACTCTTGAGTGTCTAAACTTCTCTAGGTATACAGGAGTCTGGAGTAACCAGTTTCAGCATGAAAACGAACAGCACAGTTCTTAGGAAGACACACACACAAAACCTCTTCAGGACGAAGACGACAAACAAGTAGCTAAACCTCTGACGTCCTGGTGCCACGTTAAGAAATTCTCTAAGATACTTAAGCAGAGTGCAGGGGCGCACTCTGATAATTCCAGCTACTCAGGAAGTCGAGACAGGAAGATCCTAAGTTTGAGTCTAGCCTCAATGATTTTGAGTGACCTTGTCTGAAAGAATTACTGAGCATCTACTATGGTATATGTGGAAACTCTAGGTGCTGGGGTCAGAGTTATAAATAAGCTAAACAAAGTTTCTGTTCTCATGGGGCTCATAATATAGCACATTTCCAAATAAATTAACAATTTAAAAAATCAGTAAGAAGCGCTAAGCAGAGAATTAAGAGGAGGAGAGAAAAATGATGGGGTGGCTACCTTAGATGGTGACCTGAGAAAATGTCACTGAAGCAAATTGCAGCCATGATCTGAATATCACAAAGAGGCACGCCAGGCAAACATGAGGAAAAATCACTTCAAGCTCTGAACAGAGCCATTGTGAAAGGCCAAAGGTCAAACATCGCGAGATGGCACCAGAGTCAGGGAGGAGCCATGTTTGTAGTGCTTTATGTACTAATAAAATACCATATCTCCTAAAAATCCCCAAACTTATCTTCTTTCTTCATGGCTTACCCTGTGAAAAGGTAAAATATGCCTGATTTTTTTTTGATAAGTGCAAGATAAAACCATCTCTGATCATACACGAATATTTTTTCCTAATCACCTATGACTCCAACTGGACCAGCCCCCACTTAACTCTCCAACTTTACCCTTATTCTTGCTCATTGTTTTCCGGCCACAAGGGCTCTCTGTCCCTCTTCTACCACCACCGATCAGTACCACCTGAGTTTATTTTTCTCTCCTAATACTCTCACTGCTAACTCAATTTATTGTACCTCTAAATACTTTGGACTTTCTAAATTGTGGTAAAATATATAACATAAAGCTAGGCTCGGTGGCACAAGCCTGTAATCCCAGCACTGTTGGGAGTCTGAGGCCATTCAAGCCCAACCTGCACATTTGAGTGACTTAATGAGACCCTGACTAAAATAAGAAATAAAAGGGCTGGGGATGTAACTCAGTGTGGAGGCTCTGTGTTCAATCTCCATCAGAAAAAATATGTATCTATATCCATGTATGTTTATATACCATAAAGTTCACCCTTGACCATTTTAAGCGCATTTATACTGTTGTACAATCAATTCCCAGAACTGTTTTCATCTTGCAAAACTGAAATTCTACCATTAAACTCCCCTCCCTCTTCTCCAGTCCAACAATCCACCTTCTGCTCTCTAATGCTTTGAAGATGTCTATTCTTGGCACTTCACATAATGGGATCATATGTACTTGCCTTTTGTGACTGGTCTTTTTTCACTGTCAGAATTTCCTTCTCTTTAAACCCGAAGCCCACTCTGCTGAATGTATATACCGCATTTGGTTTAATCATCCATTGACTTCTTTCAGCCGCTGTCAGTAATGCTGCTATCAGTGCAAATGATGAACTCTGTAAGACCTGCTTTTGATTCCTCTGAGTACTCTGAGTACCCAGAAGTGGACTTACTGAGTTGTGTGGTGATTATATCTTTAATTTCAGGGGGACCCAACATACCGTTTTCAATGGCGGCTGTATCACTTCAGATTCCCATTAACAGTGCACGGCATCTTTGCCAACACTTTTTATTCGGTTGTGCTGTGGATCGAGCCCAGGGTCTCAGGCGTACTAAGAAGATGCTCTACTACTGAACTCTACTACTGAAACGCCGTGCTGCCTCCTGGGCCAAAGCCATCCGCTTGGAGATCAAGCTGTGTATGTCAGCCAAAGCGCGAGAGGGCGCCTCAGCTAAAGTGAAGGAGGAGGAGACAGCTCCGAAGGCCTAGGTCGCTGAATCCTTAAAAAAAAAAAAAAAAAAAAGAAA